AAAGCCCGAGGGGCCACCCTGCTCGCCTGCTACCAAGTGGTCCAGCCAGACCTGAGCCAAGGGGGCTGCTCCCTGCACCCCAGCCCCTGGCAGAGCTGACTCTCCCGACCTCCCTCCGGCCTTTACTTAGGCACAAATTTGCATCCACAATAACATGCATAACAAAAAGTCACACGGTTAATTACGGGTGCAGTTCATAATTACAGGCACAATTAGCCACTTGCTAATTTTGAGGGTGCCAAGCAAGCAGCTAATTACATGCATAATTAGGCTAGTGTTTTGGGCCTGGGACAGGCAGTGGGGGGTGGGAGGGCACAAACTCCTTATAATCAGACCCCCGGAGTGAGGCCCTGGGGGGTGGAGGTGGGGGGAGACTGTGCTAAAGAACAGCCTCCCACACCCGGCTCCCCAGCACAGGGCTGGTCATCCCGGAGGAGTCCAGCTTGGGGCCTCTGGGAAGCCAGGAGGCCCCTTCCCTGGAGGCCCAGGAGGGGCATTCGGTCACTTCACACGGTGCACTGGCAGAGCCCCAGGGGTCTTGGCTCCCCCACTGACAGCCCACCCTGAGGGCCGGGGACCCTGGGACGGGCAGAGGCGCCACAGGCAGCTGCCCAGAGGCCCCATGAGAGGCCCCCTCCCCCAGGACATCACAGGGCCACGGCCTCAGGGGCAGTCAGCCACCAACCCGAAGCCCGCCCTCCTGGCAAGAGGTCAATGCTGTGGCCTGGGGGAGGGCAGCAGAAACGCTCCTTGATCCGATTAGGGCCAGGGCTTGAGGATGGACGCGGCGGGGGGGGAGGGGGCAGGAGCAGATGGTGGACTGAGGAGCCTAGGGCTCGTGGGGGCCCCTATCCCGGATCTGCCCCAGGCGTGGGGAGGACTTGCTCTCGGCTCTGGCCATGTTGCTGGCTGTGCCCGTGGCACAGCCACACGTGGACAGTCTAGAGCTCAAGATGAGGCCAGCAGGAGTGGGTCTAGGGTGTAATCAGGGCTGCGAGTGGACCCTGGGGCGTGTGTCCTAAGGGGGAAGGGAGAGCCCGTGAGATGCAGGACAAAACGAGAAGCCCTCACGTTCCAGGTCAAGGTGCCACGAGCCATTGCCTGCCTCCCAGTGACAATACCACTGACGGACAGACCAGTGGCCGATGGGACCATTACCTCTGTCCCGGAACGTCCACCTTAGAGCTGTTTTACCTGAGAAATAGACGTCTAATCTGAACCTGATTTTAACAGACGAACACAGACTGGGCTCTGCCTCGTGGGAGTGCAGAGCAGGTGTCCCCAACTCCTCTCCCCTCTGACCCCAGACCCTGAGTAGCCCGGGGAAAGGTCACCCTTCTCTCCTCCCACACATTCCTTGTGTCCCCCGATCAGTCGGTCCCCCGATCCGCCCACCTGATGTCCAAGCTGGTGTCCCCAGGAGCTGCCCTGTGCCCTGACAGCCCAAGGCCAGGCTGGGGGCGGGAGGAAGGCGCTGGGCTCTCACAAGGCGCCAGATGCCTCGACACAGCTTCTCACGGTAAGAAGTGCAGGAAACGCTCTGACGCGCAACTCCGCGGAGGACGACAATGGCTGACTTATGAGGCCACTTCAGTCCTGTTACTGTTAGCAAAGAACATACAGAGCACGGACCCCACTGTCCCCTGTGCCCCCACAACGGCCCTGAAGGGCTGTGAGCCCTGCTCCCACATGCCACCAAGCCTTGGGCAACTAACTGCCTTCTCGGGCACCTCCCCGTGAGCGGGAGTGCTGGCCAGCTAACCCGGGCCTTGCCCCTTGGCGCTCAGGGCCCCTCTCTGCGCACAGCCCTGCGGCACCTGAGACCCAGGGCCAGTGCGTGGGCACAAACGGTGGTGGCTCAACACCCTCCAGTCTGCGGCTTTCAGCAGCCTCACCGGAGATGGAAGGGGCCTCAGCCGCTGGGTGGGGGGCAGGGTCCCTCCTTAAGTGGGACCTAGGCCCAGAGGCTCCCACAGAGGGCCCGTCCCACAATGCCCACAGCGCCGCACCTGCTGTCCTGACCAGTGGACTCCTGAGGCTGGGGTGGCAGTAACCTTGTCCTGAGGCCCTCGGGTCACATCGGAATGGGGGGGCACGTTGGGGACCGATGGCCACGTGAGCCATCAGGACAGCAGCATCAGGCCCCACCAAATATGGGTCCTCGGGACTGACAGGGAGCATGGGCTCTGGGTGCCCACTGAAGGGCAGAGGGAGTGGTATGTGGCCGGGTGGCAGGGGTCGCTCATGCAGGCCTGAGTCGCCGGCTTCTTTTTCCACCCTCCCGACACGCACGCTCCCTCATACACCCCCAAACGCCCACCAGCTCACCGGCCGAGCCCCCAGGCCCACACCCTCACCTGCACAGGCACGTCCCCGGGCTCCCGCAGGGCGCTGTCCGCAGTGCTGACCCTCCGACTGGCGGCACTCCTGCTGCGTGGCTTCTGGAAATGTCCGTAGGAAATTCCGCATTCTAGGAATGAACTGTCTGCTTGGACATTTACCTCAGAGACCACCGTGGGGACAGGGAGGGGTGAGGTCCACCCCCTGAGCTGCAGCCACAGGGACCCTGGTGTGCCGGGCAGTGGGCTCCCGGGGGCTCCATCTGCACAGCCTCCCGGGAAGGCCCACGTGGCCCTGAATCTTCAGACTTCTCTGTGGGAAAAGCTCTCCCACGCGGGACCCTCCTCCTGTGCCCTCAGTCTCTCCTCACGGTCTGTATTTCGGTCTTTACAACAACTTAGTGACTTAACATTTACATGCTGTGGCCTGTCCCCCCACGTTAGCAGGGCAGCGACCTCCCTGGCTGTCCCTGAGAAGTTCCCAGCACCTGTCAGGGCGTGGCTGGGAGGAGACCCCCCCTCCCGCCCCCGGCCCAGCTGAGAAGACCCAGGGGCAGCAGCGGGAGTGTGGCCAGAGCCCGGCTGGAGTTAAGACCCGGGGTTTCGTCCAGTTCTGTCCTTCCTGAAGCTCGTGACCCTGGGCAGGTCCCTGAAGGTCTCCGGGGCCACACCAGCTGCACTGTGGGCAGGTGGGGAGACGAAGTGAGATGCGACAGAGGCCAAGCGCCCCCGAGCACTCAGGACAGCCCAGGGAGTATGTGGGGGCTGGGAGCCCAGCCGCATGGCCCGGCGTCCAGGGCCGTGTGCTCCTGTTACCAAAGGAGCAGAGCATGTGCGCGGCGTGAGGTGCAGAGAGCACACACCCCCCAACCCCCAGGTAGCCAGTGGGGATGTTCCTCCTGGGCCATGGGGGGCAGCTGCGAAGGGGCTGGTCTTCTTTGCCCAGACCTCCACCCACCACCACCGGGAAGGAGGCATCAATCTCCGCTCTCGGGGTGCAGAAACTGGCCGAGGTGGAGGCAGAGAAGCCACATCGACTGGCTCGGATGGTTAGGGCTTTCGTTGGCTCAGCAGAGGGCAGGCTGGCGTTGACTTCTGCCCACGGTGTTGAGCCCGGCCGGCCCACACCCACCCAAACCATCCCTCCCTCTTCGTACGGCCACCAAGGCCCCTAGACCCGCATCCCACGGAGAGTGACCTTGCCTCCCCCCCTCCCACTGCACAAGGCTGACGGGCCCCCTTGGAGGGGACGCCCACCCGGAGCTGGTAGGGGCCCTGGAAGAGCAGCCCCCAGGGAGGGGCAGGGCAGACCCCCGAGGAAGGGGTGTGGCAGTGCAGCATGCCAAGTGACCAGGCAGGGGTGAGCTCCCCGAACCCGGAGCAGGCTCCTGTGCCAGCCGCCACCCTGCTTTTCCCTCCCTTTCAATCTCTGGGATGGTCGTCATGGAAACCAAGAGGCTGGCGGTCAGGAGCAGGTCTGGAGCAGGCGGAAGAGGCAGGGGGCACAGGTCATGGGGCCTGCGGGGAGGGTCAGGTGGGGACAGTCACAGACCGGTGGACATCCTTCTCGGCACCCTCCCTTCTGCTGTCCCGGCTGCCTGCGCCATGACCAGCCACACAAAGCCCTGCTCCTTGGTGGCCTTGGAAGTCCCTGTAGCCAAGGTCACCGCGAGGGAGGGGCTGTGTCGGAGAGGAAACGCCAGCTCGG